GTGGCATGCATGGTGGCAGACAGGGCAGGGCAGGTAGCGGAAGGTAGGGGGGCGGGCGGGCGCCGCGCGCGCTGCCGCCGCTGCCCCCCCGGTTGTGCCCCCGGGTGGCGTCTGCGGCCCTTAGGCATCGGCGCCGGGCCCCGCCTGCGGCCTGCTGCTGCTGGGCCCGGGCGCACGGCGGCCCCGCCAGCCAGCACCCACCAACCGGAAACAGCCAGCCAGCACCCAGGCAGCCAGCAGCCAGCACCCAACACCCAGGCAGCCACCACCCGCTGCCCGCCACCCACCGCAGATGTGCAGGCGCTGGTAGAAAGGACGGAGGCCTGCCAGCTCGTTGCTGCACCCCTCCACCTGCACCCCAGCAGCCGGCGGGGGCGTGAGCCAAGCGCGGCTGGGGGCTTGCCGCCGGGAGGCACATGGCGGCGCAGCGCGGTGCGCGTCGTTATCGGCGGCGGCACCCAGGCGGGACGGAGGGCGGGCAGCCGCGCTGCGACCGGCTGCCAGAGGCTCCCGGAGCACGCCTGCGGCCTGCGGGGGCTGCTGGGGCACAACAGTGAAGGAAGACCCCCACCTGGCAAGTGGGTTCCCTTGCAGGCGCCCCTGCACCCCTGCGCTGCGTAGATTGCAGCTCGTAGGCGTCCCACTCGTACATATGGGCCTGCCAGGCCGGTGCCTCCTCATCCTGAGCCCCGCTCGCCATGGCCGGTGGCGGGGCGGGGAGCTGCGAAGCGCGCAGCCTCCCAGCGATCAGAAGAGGCAGGCCGCCCTGTCAGACAATGCTGTCCACTTTCTTGAGGCCGATTTTGGCTGCCACGTATCCTTACGACGCGCATTTGGCCCCACAATACTACCCCTTGAGCATGCACAGACCTGCAACGGCTGCTGAATAAGGTCGCGCGTAGATTGGAGGCAGGCAAGCCTGGAAAGGGGAGCAATACCCAAACCAATGGACGTGCGCTTGGCCGCTCCCCTCCGGCCAGGCCCTCCCACACGTCCCGGCAAGCGGTTGGGGTGCAACAGAGGGGCGCGCGGCAGGCTTGGGGCCGCCCGTCCACCCCTTTCAACACCCCCGCCGCCGATGCCGCGCCGCGCGGCGGCGGCGGCGGAGCGCTCTCCTGCTGCTGCTGGCAATGCTGCTGTTGCGAGGACCCGGAAGCCTCTGGAACCGCATTGGGAGCCCAGCAAGCAGCAGGGGTGGCTACAGAAGCGGCGCCTCGCCCACACCTCTCGGGCGACGAGCGCTGGGCGGGCTGAACCGCCGGCGTCACAGCACGGTGCCGCTGCTGCTGCCGCCATTGCCGCTGCTGCTGCTGCTGCTCCTGCGTTACATGCGCCTCAACACAAGGAGGCCGGCAGGCGTGCCGCACAACCCCATGCACACCCAAGCGCTCCAAGGAAGCGGCCCGCCTGCTGGTCTCACGGCCGCAGCAGCCCACAAAAGCAACAGGCTCCCTCCCAGGAGGCACCTCGCTCCCGCCACACCAGCCCGATCCACACCGCACAACGCCACTGCCAAGTGCCAGCCCCTCACAGCCCCTGCAGGCGCTCCAGGGCCTGGGCCGCCGTGGGCCGCGCCTGCGGGTCTTGCTGCAAGCAGTCGCCGATGAGCTCCGCCAGGCCGGCGGGGCTGGCGTCCGAGGGCGGCGGCGGCGCCACCTGCAGCTGGGCGAGGCAGGCGCATAGGCAGGCGCATGTGCACAGCATGTACCAAGGATGAGGTGGGGGGTGTCGTCACCCCAATGCGCCTCGGGCCGAGGTTTGGAGGGGAGGCGGCCAGCAGGGGGCGGGCGGGGTGTGGGCAGGGCAGGGTGGGGCAGGCGGGCGGGCGCGGCGCCGGCGCCGGCGGGAGCACGTGTGCAGCAGCAGCAGCAGCAGCAGCAGCAGCAGCAGCAGCAGCAGCAGCAGCAGCAGCAGCGCTTTTCGGTTGTTTTCAGCAAGCGGCGCACTTGGCCTCTCACTGGCGCCTCGCGGGTGGCCAGCTCCCACAGGACCACGCCCAGGGAGTAGATGTCTGCGGAGAGGGGGGGAAGAAAGGAAGAAAGGAAGGAAGGAAGAACGCACGCAGGGAAAGGAGGTGTGGTTCCACACCAGGAAAGGGAGGAGAAGGCAGCGGCGTGCCCTGGCTGGCAGCGGTGCCACGCGTGCGGCGGCGGGGGTGGCAGGCCGCCTCCCCCAGAGCAGCACAGCAATTGCAGGGCGGGCAGCAGTCAGCCCCAGGCGGCAGCGGCGGCGGCGGCACCAGTGCTGCGGCGGTGCACGGCGGGAGGAAAGCAGGGGGGAGGCAGGAGGAAGGCAGGAGCAAGGCAGGTGTAAGGCAGTGCAGCAGCAGGGCAGCGCTCGCGGCCCCCACCTATCTTGTGCGTGCACGGCTGCCCAAGCAGCAGCTCGGGCGCGGCCCAGGCCAGCGTGCCGCCGCAGTCGCCGCTGCCGGCTGCGCGCAGCGGGGGGGCGGCGCGGCGGGGCGTCAGGCGCGCTGCGGGGCGTCACGCGCGCGGCAGCGGCGGCAGCCGGGGCCGCTGTCACCGCACTGTCAGCAGGGGAGGCAGCAGCAGGAGCAGCGGGAGGCCCACCAGCATCCCCAGTAGCAGCAGCAGGAGCAGCAGCAGCAGCAGCAACACCACCAGCATCGCCACCCACACCACCACCCACCAGACAGGTACGTGGCGGAGTGCAGGTCGGCGGCCCCCACGTCCGCCACCTTGGCGCGCACAGCTGGCAGCCCGATACCGCCGGTACCGGTCAGCAGCACGTTCTTGGACTTGAGGTCCCTGCGGGGGCGGCAGGGCACCCGGATACCGGTACCGCGGAGTGCAGGGACAGGTCGGGAACAGCCGTTCAGGGGGAGCGAGAGGCGGGCAGGCAGGCGATCCCAGGAGCCAGCGCCGACTGTGAGGCAGAGCTCAGGCAGGCTGCCGTGCAGCCCAAACCCTAAACCCCACCTGTGCGTCACGTTGTTGGCGTGCAGGTAGACCAGGCCGCCGGCAATGTCCAGCGCAACCTGGCACCAGCAAGCAGGGAAATCGAGAGTTGGCAAGAAGGGAAGACGACAGTCGGCAGGGAAGAAAGTCCTGCAAAAAATAGCAGGGCAGGCCCCCCCGCTCCACCACTCCTGTGGCCGCTGGTTGCAGCCTGGCTCAAAGTCTCTGCTGCAAGCGTGTTGATCAACGCTGAGACCCGACTGTGAGCCCACACAAGCAAACCGAGGAAAGCGCCACAGGGCGGCACCTGCCCACACGTAATGCAGCCTCCCAGGCCCCCAGCAGGCGCAGGCACACAGGGGTTCGGTGACCGAGCACCGCGAGACCGCAACACAACGGCTAGCCATGGTTTAAGCATAACGTAGAGGTGCTGCTGAGTGCCACGCGGCGGGCCCACCTGGCGCCCGCCCCGCCGCCAGGTCAGCGCCCCGTCGACGTCGGCCGCCAGCGCGGCGCACAGGTCGCCGCCCTGCGGGTGGCAGGTGGCGGCGGGGCCGGTGTGTGTGTGGGGGGGGGGGGGGGGGGAGGGGGCAACATGGTGGGGGCAGCCCTGCCGCCCACCTCCCCTGTGCCACACCACATGCACCGCTGCAGGGCCTTGCCCATACCCTATGTACCAGTCAATCCCCACCCACCCACCTCCATAAGCTCCGTCGCCAGTACCAGCACCGTGCAGCGGTACCAGCTGCTCGCAGCCGTGCAGCCGCGCCAGTACATCGGCCTCCCGAAGGAACGCGGACAGGTCGGCGGCCTCCATGACCTGCGGTACCGTGCGGTACAAGCAGGCGGCACACGTAGGGCGGCGCATGGCAGCACCGCGCATTCCGGGCAGCTCTGGGCAGCAATGGAAGCGCAGGTGGTGCAACCGAGGCGGCGCGGTTTAGAGGGTGCGGCAGGGCAAGCTAAAGCGGCGACAGAGGGCGGCGGCGGCGTAAGCCGCCTCCCCAACCCCTGCCGGCAGTACCCGCAGGAAACCCCGCATCTCAGCCCACCACCCCACCTTGATCGCCACCGGAAGGTCCCCGGGCGGTGCCGCCGCCACCTCGCCGCCGCCCCCGGTGCCACCGTCTCCCGCGCCATCCCCGCCGCCTGCCGCCGAAGCAGCAGCCGCAGGCGCCGCAGCAGGCGCAGCAGGCGCAGCGGGCGCCGCGCCCAGCAGCCATACGCGGTACACCCGTCCGAAGGAGCCGCGCCCCAGCAGTACGAGCCTATCGTCTGCGGTACGCTCCAGTACCAGACGGGACGGGTCCAGCAGCCAGGCCGGTGGCTTGCGCTCCAGCTGCGCCAGCCTGGCGGCCAGCTTGGCGCCGGGCGCCGTACCACCGCCGGTACTGCCAACACCATCACCACCACCGCCGCAGCTGCCGGGGTGCAGTGCAGCGGCAGCGGCAGCCCTAAGGGAGATGGAACCGCCGGTGTTGCTTAAGCTTCCGCTGCTGTTGGGGCCATGCACGGCGCCGGCGGCGGTACCGTTGGAGGGGAGGGAGGGGGTCAGCTGGGAGCTGGGTCCAGTCTCCAGGTCGCTGCCCAGCTTGCCCTCGTCGACGCATGCAGTACCGGCAGTGGTACCGGCGGTGGCACCGACCTTCCCGGCGACACGCGGCCAGCCAGGCGCCGGCGGCCAGCAGGGCTGCGGTGGGGGGCTGGGTGGGGGGAGGGGTTGGGTGTGTGGGGTTATCCCCACCGGTGGGCTGTGCATGCTGGCGTTGGTGGGGGCGGCGTAGTGGCGGGTGGTACATCTAGGGCTGTAGGGCCCTGCCAGGGCTCAAGCACTGCTGAACAAAAAAGGTGGAAAGCAGCAGGGGGGGCAGGCAGGCTCACCCGCCACCGCAGCCACCGCCTTCACCGCCACGCCCGCAATCGCGCCGCCACTCAGGCCGCCGCCGCCGTCCTCGCTCCCGCCGCCGTCGCTGCTGCTGCTGCTGCTGCCAGCGGCTGGGCTGGGGACTGGGGAGGGGGCGTCTGCCGCAGCCGCCGGGCAAGGGGGCAGGGATGTGAGGGGTGCTCCGTTGGGGTTGTTGGCGGAAAAGCCGTAGAGGGTGGGTGCTGCTGGGACGTGCAGGGTGGTGTGTGTGGGGTGGGGTGGTTGTGGTGTGGTGTGGTGTGGTGTGGTGTGGTGTGGTGTGGTGTGGGGCGGCGGTGTTGCTGCTGGTGAGGGGTGGTGGTGGTGGTGGTGGTGGTGCCATGCCAGCATGCGGCATGCGGCCCGCTGCGTCCGGCTGGTGTGCCGGCTGGGCTGGGCGGGCGGGGCAGGTGGTGGGCCTGGTGAGTGCCCACTAAGTGCCCCTTGCAAGGCGCTGGTCGGGCCGCCAGACACACGCACACACCTGCCGCCAGCAGCACCACGCCCACACGCCCAGCACCCCCCAAACCCTGCTGCTGCTGCTGCGTGTCCTCGCAGCACCCACCACCGCCCGCCCGCCCACCTCCCCACCGCCCAGCACCCGCCCACCTCCCCACCCCCGAGCCCAGCACCCATGGGCTACCTCCCCGCACAGCGCCTCGTTGCCGGGCTGGATGGCCAGGATGGCGTTGGTGGCGGCGGGCCAGGAGGGCACGGGGCCTGCAAGGCAGGAGTGTGGTGGGGGTGGGGGTGCGGGAGGTGCGTGCCAGGCTCAGCTAGCCAGCACCCGCGACACCGACATCCGGGCAGCACCCAGCCAGCCCCCAGGCAGCCACCACGAAAACAACACCACACAGCCAGCATCCACAAACCGCCGCCCACCCGCCCACCCACCCGCGAAGGCGTTGCCAGCCACGTTGACCACTGCCACGGGCGTGCTGGCGTTGATCGCCATGGCGGCGGGCAGGGCGCCGGTGAGGCGGTTGAAGGAGGCATCCAGGGACTGCAGGGGGGAGATATTCAGGCGGCGGTTTCAGAAGAAACGAAAGGAAGGGTGTTTTCAGAAGAACTGAAACAGACGAAACGAGAGGGAGGCGGCTGTTGGATACGCCCAGGGACTGCAGGTGTTTCTAGGACGGACATCGGCGGTAGGGGTTGTTTTCAGTTTCCAGAACGAAGAAGAAGGAGCTTAAACAAGTAAACAGGTGGGAGGCGGGCAGGCACGCCGAAACGGCGGCACGCGTGCGCGGCGGGCGCAGCGGAAACTGCGGGCGAAGCGCAGCGGGCACAGCAGGCGCAGCGGGCGCAGCGCAGCGGGCGCAGCGTCCCCCCCCACCGTCAGCCCCTGCAGCTGGGTGACCGACTGGGGCAGGGTGCCTGTCATGCTGTTGTTGAAGAGCGCCAGGGTGGCGAGGCCGGGGGGCAGGCGCCAGGCTGGCGGGATGGACCCGGTCAGCTGGGTGTCCTGCGGAGGGTCGGGTATGGGTGTGGGGTGCAGGCGTGGGCTGAGGCTGCGCAGCGAGCAGCAGCAGGCGGTTCGGCGAACAGCGCAGCAGGACTGCCGGGCAGCTGCCGCCAGGCTGCGGCGCCCGGCCCTCCGCGGCGGCTGCAGGCAGCTGCCCCTCCGCCCGGTGGCCCCATCCTTCCTGCCTGTCATGCAGTACACATCCTGCTTTCCTCCCCGCCTGCAGCAGGATGTACCGCACACTGTCCGGCAGCACCCAGCTAGGGCTCAGGGAGCCGCCGAGCGGGTTGGAGGCCAGGTAGAGGATGGAGAGGCCTGCAGGCGGGGATAGATACGATCAACGAACAAGAAAGGACGGCCGGTCAACGGGGCCGGTGAAAGCTGCGCCGGTCAAAGGACGGTCAAAGCCGCGCCGCCGGCGGCGCCGCTGCCGGCCTCTGGGCGGCGAGCCGGGGCCCGCTCCGCCTGCCTGCCCAGAACCGCCGCAGGCATGCCGCCTCGGCAGCTTGCAGCAGCTTGCGGCGGCGGCTTGCGGCGGCCGCGGCAGCACCTTGGGGCAGCACCCAGCCAGGCAGGATGGACCCCGAGATGCTGTTGAGCCCCAGCTCCAGCCGCTGCAGGCGGTCTGGCAGCTGCCAGCCGGAGGGCGATGGTAGGTTGCCCACCAGCCCAAAGCCGTCGACCGTGATGCAGGTAAGGCAGGCAGGGCGTGCGTGGGCGCTGGCGTGGCATGTGCGGTGTGCGGTGTGCGGTGGTGGCGGCACAGCCCAGTGCGCCAGATGCCGCGCATCCTTTGCAGGCTGCACCCACACCGGCACTTAGACAGAACTTGTAGTAGTGTCTGACACACTCCCCTCCCGCCGCATGCAGCCACGCCAGCAGCAGCAGCGCAGGCCCAGCTGCAAGCGCCCAGCACTCACAAGCGCCCAGCACCCACAAACACCAAGCAACCACAGCAATAGCAAGCACCCATAAGCGCGCATCACCCACAAACACCAAGCACCCACAGCATCGCAAGCACCCACAGGCGCCCAGCACCCACACATGGCAAGCCCCCGCATGGCCATGCCCCGCCCCTCCGCGGCCAGCACCCACATGCTCTCCGCGAACCCGCCCGCGTCGCAGTTGACCCCCCTCCAGGCGCAGTAGTCGGTGCCGTTGACCCAAGTGGAAAGCAGCTCGCCGCCGTTGACCATGCTGGCCTTGAACGCCAGCAGCGCCTCGCTGTTCTGGCGGGAGGCAGATGTGGCGGCGGCGGCCTGCGCCGCCGCGTGTAGTGGGGTCAACCCCAGGCACAGCGCCATCAGCAGCGGCACGGCGGACGCCGTCCACGCTGACATGCTGCCTAGGCCGCCGCAGGAGATGAAAAGTGCGGGCCAGCGGGCCTGGGAGAGGGGGAGCGAGCAGGCGGCAGGCGGATAAAGCGTGGCGGCAGCGGCGGCGGGAGGGGTGGTGGCGCCCATGTGCGCCATATTCGATCGCAACCGGAAACACCCCAACGCCTCCCAGATGGCCACAATCGCTGAGCATAGCAGGGGAGGCTGCCCGGCTGCCACTGCAGTGTGCACACATGCCACGATACGCACCCTTGCGACAGCCAGGACCTCAGCGGGAGCTCCGGTGCATAAAAAGCGCGGGCGGCTGAATCTAGGGAGCTCCGAGACGGGTCACAAACAGGTATGGTGTCAGAGCCGCATGCAGACTCAACGAAGCGAGCTGAGTTGGGCGGTGGTTTCAGGGCACGTGGAGTAGGTTCCCAGGGGTGCATAGGCCCGCATGCATGTGCCGGGTGCTGCCACCCGAGCGGCCACATGGCCGCCAGCGTGCATGTGGCGGTGGCTGAGCGGCGGCGGCGGCAGTTCACTCAGCCCTCACACGTATGCCCTGAATCTGCTGTCTCATCTGCAGGTGCCTTACAGGGTGCCAGTGGAAGAGCTGGCAGGGCGGCAGCATGCGCCAGGCTGCACCCAGGCCAAGCCGAAGCAACCGGCACACGCCACAAACTGAAGTCGTGCCGCCGGAGGGTGCCTCGCCAGCGGCTGCCGGCTGAGCTCCCGACAGCTGGCCACCGCGGCAAACGCCAGCAGCCGAACGCAGCAACTTGACCACGCGCGCACGCGAGCTGGCCGCCGCAGAAATCACACCGGGCGTGCTCCCAGCCCCCTCTCTCCTCTGGCCGCCGGAGGCTGGTAGCTGCTCTGGAAGCTACTTGAACACATCTCAAGAAGTTGCCCGGAAGCGCAGGCTGCTCAACACAGCGCCGCCGCAGGCTAAGCAACTTGAACACGCCGCCCGGCCCGTCGCGCGGGGGGCTCGAGAGCCGGCCGCCGCAGCACACGCCAGGGGAGTCTAGGGTCTGGAGAGCGCACCTGCCGCCAGAGGCGACGTCACTACTTGAACACATCCCCCAGCTCGTCCCGCGGCAGGGGGTGCGCCGCCACGTGCGCCTTGCGCCCCTCGCGGCTCTGCATGGGGGGTGGGGGCAGCGCACAGCAGCAGCGGCAGCAGGGAGCCAGGTCAGCGGGAGCACGCCAGGCCAGCGGCGGCCGGCACAGGGGTGGTGAGCCAGGCCAGCGGGCGGCAGGCCAGGCCGCGCCTGGCAGCCGCACCACGCAGGATGCCTGCCCGCCGCAGCCCGCCGCCTGCCCCCGCCCGCCCGCGGACGCATGGCTGCGCACCCTAGCCTGCCTGCGCACCCTAGCCTCTGTTGCGCCCATGCACATACGCAACGCCACACCACACCCAGCTACACCACACCACACCACACCACACACACACCACACCACCCCTGCCACCAACAGCCCACCAGCCCACCTGCACTTTGGACACATACTTGCCCTGCTGCTGCCGCTTGAGCATGGCGCGGATCTGCGGGGGAGGGGGGCGGGAGCAGGAGGGGAGGGCACGCACCGCGCTTCATGCGAGGGGGTGCGTGCGGGCGTGCGGGATCGGCGGGGCGAGGCGCGGGGCCCCCTGCATGCCGCCGCGCATGCGTGGCGCAGCTGCTGCACGCGCCGTGCACCCAGCAGCCGCAGGAGGCGACAGCACAGCCGGCCACACACACACACACACACACCACCACACACACACCACACACACACACACACCACACACCACACACCCCTTACCGTGTTGGGCGACACGTATCCCGGGTTCTCGTAGATGACCGGGCCCCCAAACGAGCCGGCAAACATCTTGATGGGGTTGAGGCAGGCGCGGGGGCCCACCTGCGGCGCACATGGCGGCGGGGTGGAGGCCCGTGGGTGCAGCGAAACCCACAGGGCG